CCCTCCTTTTTCTATGCTGCTACCTCAGGCAAAATGAATATTTCTTCTCAAAGAATGACCTAGGAACAAATTGCATGAAAATCACCCAGGATGCTTGTTAAAATGCAAATTCCAAGGCCCCATTTCAAACCTAGGGAATCAAAACCTCTAGGTATAGGGTCCAGTAAAGCTGCATTTTTACAAATGCCTCAGGTCATTTGCATGCCCCCCTGAAATTTATGAAACATTATCCTCAATATTAACCAAATCCTAATTTTCTGGGATGTCTAGTATTTCTTCTAAATAAGCCAAAGGAAGAATTTTAAGCATTGAGAGTACAGGCCAAATCTTGTCACAGAATATGTATTCTATTGTAACCCTGTTTATGAGCACTTAGTAGCTTCTCTGTGGGACAGTTAAGCTGTCGTAATTACCTCATGGTTCTGTAATCTAGATGTCTCCTCCCACATGACATTTGCACCAACTAAGACTATGGTTTATTTCCAGGATGGAAGAACTACCAGGCCTTTGTGAACTGAAGTCTCTTCATGGTACATTTTCTTTTTCTTGGTGATTTAAAGACACTTAGGAAATTTTTCTGGTTCTTGAACCTGAAAAAAATCTTGAGCCTGAATTACAGAGTGTAAATTAAGGAGAATAATGTTTTATTCTCCTTAAGGACTAAGAAGAACTTATAAGAACTAAGTCCAAATCACTTTAATCATGGTCTCTTTATGGAAAAGTGCTTTTTAGATAAATTGTGAATGATCCAGGATTAGTAGCTCTAATCCCCAAACTGCCTCTGACTATAATTCCATGGGCAAATTATACCATCTCTTTGCCATATTTTTGTAATAGGAATAATCACTCTGTAATAAGAATAATATCCTTATTACAAAGTTCCAAAGAGATGAATAAGATCTGGCTTGTAAAATGGTCAAGGTTGTTGAATGAGGGATCCTATAAAAAGTGTAAATTATTAGTATTCCTTTTATAGGCCTTTAATGAGTTATCGACCTGCCAATGATGAACCTACCTCTGGAAATATTCCACTTCCTGTTTTTCAGACTTATTGCAGTGATGCACTCCGCTCTTAAATTTTCCCGGAGTATTTTGGGGAGCTTTAAAATTTAGTCAAAAACCAGAAGAGGCAGCACTACCTTCCTCCCATTCATGGACTCCTAGGGCTACAGTGTCTGTATCTTCACCTTGACTTCGTATTGATTAGATCGATTGGACTTACTAAGCCATTCGGGCCATCAAAGCCTCAAGTACTTCGGGTTAGCTAAAGTATCAAAAAGCCCACTAGCTTATTAGCAGTAAACCCTAATCTTCCCTAATGTGGGAGGGTGATTATAAATAAATTATGTACTTGATGTCGTTCTCAGTTGTGAAATCATCCTAGCCATCTACATTTCTAGTTGCTATTATGCAGACTGTTTTTAAAAATTTTGCTCACCCCAAATTAAGACTTTTTGAGGATCTAACTAGAGACAGAACCAAACCAACACATCTGCATATTACAATAATTAAATTCTTTAGATGTTTTCAATCTGCAGTGGGAGAAGGAATTTTTTAATAGCATTAAGTTTACTGTTTGCATCTGATTTTCACACATAGTTGCCTTATTTTCTAAGTTACTTTTACAAGGACAAAACATGTAACTTTTATGTGAGAGGAGAAAAAAACTGAAGAAACAGCTAAAATCTGCACTGTCTGATAAACAGATAAAGTGGAGTGACAGATATAAAGGAAAGTGAGAAAGCAATGCATGGTAACTTCGGTGAGGCTGCACCCCTTGGACTGTAGACCCATATGGGAAAAAAGTTTCTGGGACTGAGCGAATGACAAATCACTACTGAGAAGTCCCTTGCAGAGTAACATGAAAGAAAAAATATTTATATTCACCTTGACGGTAGCTGAAAAGGGATCTGGGGGTAGTGCAGTGGCTTGGGTTTGACTGACTTAATTTCTTGAACAAATATGAGAATTAAACATTCACAAATGTTCCTAATATTTTGTGAACAAGGAAGTGAGATATTAGCACTCTTTTCAGTGTTGTATCTACCATCATAGCATCTGTTGGTTAGCCTTAACTTTAAGCCTTTTGGAAGAACCAGTATATTCTGATTTGAGAGTTTCCTCCACATGGTAAAAATAAAACGTGAAATTTCAGTAACTGGCATGAAAAATTTTAGTAGTACCCAGGAAGTTTTCAGAAACTAGAGCTTTTACATAATATGGAAGTTTTAATGTTTTGAAGGTTCAGTAAATTATGTAGTGTAGAAGAGTGAAGTCTAAATTACCCACTCAGAAGGGTAACCTTATAGCCCACATGTCTGGATCCATGTATGCAGATGGACAGATACACTTCATTTCTCCTGGGAAGTTAAGTTCTAAAAAGCTATCACTCAGAACAGACGGTTTTATGATTGCATGAAAAGAAAAGGAAAGATGACAGAGTTGCTATAAAAATGAAAGGCCTTTGGAGCATTAGCAGCTGAAAACATTACAGCTTCAATGAAGATGGGAAACAAAAATCAGCTTAAAACTGCAAATTAAAAAAAAAAAAAACTTACCCAGAAGGTTTGAAGCATATGGACACCCACCCAGTTTGCAATGAGGGCAATGGGAGCCCCAGACTTTAGCTTATTAAAGATGACCTTTCCCCTCTCTAAAATTTCAAAGCTGACGTTTCAAGTGCTGAGCAGACTGTGTGCCATATGTAACATGACCTCAGCTCCACTCTGCCGGAGCACTGATGGCATCACTAATGAGAGGTGAAAGGTCTTTTTCTTGCAGCTTTTTCAGAAACCCACCAACTCCTGCCTGTGAAGTAAAGCTCCCCCCTCCCCCTCCCGCCTTGATTTCAAGAGAACTGCATTTAATACACAGCCTCCAAACACTTTTATTACCGGTCGATTTGCTTATAGCCACAGCCAAATGGCAGGATGTACAATCACATGCAGAAGAAAATATTTATTTTGACTCAGAAGGCAAAGGGATTAAGAGAACATTGTATTAACCTTGCCTTTCATCTATGTTTTAAAGGGAAATTCTCCAGAGGCATCCATTGAAGTTCTATTTTTTTTTTTAATAAAGACTATCAAAGACTTTTAAGAGACCAGGTGTGTGTTTATCTGAAGGGAGGAGAGAAAGGGAAGAAACTATATTAGGGGGAAAAGGCAGCTTTCCTCAAAGCCGCTTTAGAGACTGCAAAAAAAATATATGTGCGGGAATCCGTTACAGACATTCTACCAGCTAGCGCCCCCCGCCCCCCTTTTTCTGCTGCTTGGAAACAAAATAGCCTTTTTTTCTAAGCAGGTTGTTATCATATTCATGGCATGGTCAATTTCCGTTTGCCAAGAAAATATTTAGGCTGATCAAAGAAATTACAAAATCGGGTGAATAGAAACAGACGTTCCCACAAGAGAAGCGTTTCTCAATGTAAAGAGGCAGGCGGACCGAAGCCCACCCAGTTACTCCTAGGAAACAGCTCTCTTGCCAAAGGCGGAACGACATGGCTACATGAATTCTGCTGAAAGGGTTATGGAAGTCACAACTCTCCAGGAAATACACACGGAGACTGGAGCTTGAGACTCTCGGGGGCGGACATGTAAGGAGATGATCGGTTCTAGTATCAGGAGGGCCTTTACGTCCATTAATACAGAAGGACCTCTCAAAACAGACGATGAGTGAGTTTGGGCCCCTTTTGTTTTACTTTGCCTGGTTTATTATGAGCATGGAAAGACAAGAACACGTCCTTTGTACGTGACAGATGAGCGGTAGCAGTTTCTCCCGAATTAATATAAATTCACTTTTCAGATTTGTGAGCTTGAATGGGGAATGTTGGATAGTAACCGTCTGCGGGGCCCTCTGGTCTCCTCCGAGTGTCCGCTCCGGCCAGTTGGTGACAGTAAATAAGGGGGTCTTCTATCTTTTGGTTGTTCCTGGGCAAAGTACCGCCAAACCAGGTGGGGCCACCTGCTTCGGCGCTTGCATGCGGAAAAAAACATCGGCTGCCATCGCAGTTCCCTTCCGCAAGACTCACGAAACTGAAAAAGAGAGCTTCGCTTGGGAAAAGGGGATCCGTTTCCCAACTCTTCCCTTCGCCGCTCGCCTCCGGCAAACTGGGGCTCCTCGATCGCCTGGGAAGCGTCGCCAACCCTACCGCGACCGCGATACCGCCAGTTCTCCGGGGAAGGGGTGGTCCTGAAGCAAGGGGTGAAGAGCTAAGGGGGCCAAAGAAGGTTCCCTTCTTGTGAGTCCCGCCCGGAGCTACGCGGCGCTGGCAGGGCCGAGACGGGCCAAGAAAGTCCCGGGAGGTGGGCTGAGAATGTGCTCTGCCGCCCTAGCCCCTCCCCGCCTTAAGCCCCTCACCCTCGAAGCTCAACCGGGCAGCCTTTCTCCTCTTTCTGTTTAGTTTTGTTTCGGTTCTTGTCGGTCAGACTCTTTTGCCAGGAAGACAGCGCCCTCTCTCTCCTCCAGCCGCGTCTGCCGTGGGCCTGCGTCCTCTCCTTGCTCCGCTGACCTCCCAGCCTCGTTCTCGCCCCCGCCCCTCCACCCCGAGCGCTGTCCCCTCCTCCCTCACGCCCCAAAATTACAGCCTCTGCCAGCAGCCCGAGCGAGCGGCGGGGTCCGAAGCCTGCTCGGGACCGGACCCCGGGCCGGGCAGACCGGAACGTCGGACCTCGGTCAGCCTGGCTGGGCAGGGCGGTCCCCGGCGCAGATGCGGCGCCGGAGACTCCTCGCGCGCCTCCCGGGAGAGGTTCCTGGCGTGGACCACTGGGTTTGGGTGGGGCCCCGCAGCCCCCGACCTCGCACTGCCTGCTAGGGGCGGGGCCGCGAGCGGGTGATGCGGCGAGCCCTCCCCAGCTCTGGCGCGCCGCGAGTTGGGCCGGCGCGCGCACCTGGCAGAGCAACTTACCCTGGACTCCAAGATGGGCCCAAGAAAGGAGGCCCCGGCTTGCGTGCGGGGTGATAGGTGGGGGTGGCGGATGAACTTCAGGAGAGAAAAGGAAAACTCTGACGGCCGTGTTCCGAGCTCCCAAAGCGCCCCTCGCGGTCCGCGGGCTGCCTTGAAACCTCACCCTGCCGGCTTCCAGGAGGGCTGCGCCAAGTACAGCAGTGGTGTTGGAAACGTTGTTGCAAAATCCGTGCCCGCGCTGGTGGGCCAGACGCGCGGAGAGGCCTGGGTGAGTGGGCACCTTCCCAGCACCCTCCACCCAGTGTCTGTTTTTCCCCCACAGCTCAGGGGACTGGTGATTTAGACTAATGCCGTGCGGCTCAGTCGGGAGCAGAGACAACCGGGCTTCTGTCCGCGAAATCTGGATCCTTTAGAACCCAAACAATGTACTCATGTGGGATTGAAAAAAAAAAACATTTTCCATAGCGTGGATTTGCACGGACATAGGTACAGGGCTGAAGTATTCCCCAGCCCAACCCCCCCCCCAACGCAACCCCTCCCGGCGCCCGGGAGCTACGGGAGGGAGTTCGCCTCGAGATGACCCGGCTGCAGAGCGCAGGCGGATCCCAGAAACGCTCTAATTGAGTCACAAACCACCCGCCTACCCTAACAAAGCGATCCTTCTCGACAGCTCAGCGCCCAATTTGTCCGAAGTACTTTCTTCCGCAATTCAGAAGCATTATCTTGTTTTTAAAAGTATCGCGGCAGAAACGTGGCAATTATCGTGGGCTCGGGTTACGCTAAATGGCGTTAGTCTGAGAAATGTAACAATACAAAAGCCGCGAACGTGATGATCGCCTAGCTGCCGGGCCTGCACTGGGGGTAGGAGAAGTGAGGGAAAAGATTGCAACCGGGGCGAGGGAGATATGGCTCGAGTTCCCGCTATAGGGCCTCCCTTCCAAAGGCACCTGCAGAAAGAAGTGTTGGACCTTTGTCCCTAGGGGTTAAGGATGCTGAGCGATGGACCCTTAGAGATTGGGAAAGGGGTGCTCGTGTCCAGACAAGACCCTGCCACTGTAGTGGCCCCGGCTCTCATTTGGGAGTTAGGAAGGGAAGAGAGGTCAAGGGTCATCAAGGGAGATGGGGAAGAACCCAATTCCTATTCGGTGACAACTACACTAAAATTGGGAAGGATGGGTGGTAATGGGAGAAAGAAGGAAAAAAGGGGGGGGGGCGAAAAGAGGAGCCGGCTCTGAGGGATGGGAAGAGGCGTTCTCTCCAGTGCAACGGGGTAGGCCTAGCCTAGGAGCCCGGGAGGCGCCGCAGGATAAGAACACGAAAGAACTGGAGAGGCCGAGAAACTAAGAGGCGCCTCCGCACCAGGGAAAAAAACGCTCTAAAAATCTTCATCTAGGTCTGCCAGGGTGAGTCTGGGCCTGGAATATGCTGTTGGGGGGGGGGGGGGGGCGGGTAGTAAAGAGAGAATAGTGAAAGGCGTTGGGTGCGGGCGTCGGGCTGGCAGACGCCTTGTTCACCCCAGCCACCCAGCCCGCAGTAGTAGCCACGCTGTGCGCGTGTCTCTTTCTCCTTCTGCTCGAACCAGCCCCCACATCTTGAAGTAATCAGCAGTAGAGAAGGGACTCGTCCCCCTGGCATCTCAGGTTAAAGAAGGAGGTCCAGGAAAATGTGGTAGAGCCATTACAAGAAACCCGAGCCGCAGTCATCAGGGACTCCAATTGCCATCGCATTAGGATTGATTAGAGACCAGCAGTACCGTAATGACCCGGAAAGAGGGGCAGACGGGGATTATTAATATCAGAATGTGGCAGGGTGGGGACGTGAGTGGAGGCAGGGAAGAGCAAAGTGGGGAGGGAGACGTTTTAAATTACTAGGATTTATATGTAAGTGCAGGCTTACCTGAGGAAACCGGATAGTCAGTGAATCACGCAAACAATAAATCTAATTGCATCTAAAATTTCACGAAGCCTGATTTTTTTTGGAGGGGGCGGGCAGTAAAAACCATGGTGAAAACCAGGCTAACATCTTAGTTTTCCTAAACACGCAGTTATATAAACTTATTGCAAGAATCCACATGAAGAGATGGAGAGGGTTCCTGCATGTCCACTTTCCTTACCGATAGGCCTCTGAAAAAAGATTTTGGGAGTGCATTTGTGGGTCACTTTGGGTCTTCCCTCCAGAGCTACGGGACAATGGAAGGGACGATTTTTTTTTTTACAGAAGAGTAATAAATCAAATTTTAATCAAAGTAGTGATACCTGGGTAGTTGTTTTTGTTTTGTTTGAGAAACGAACGATCGGGATCCCTAGCAGAAATAGAGAAGAGTGGTTTGTCTCCTTCCTCCGACTCTGAGCCAAAACAAATCAGCCCCTGATGGTCTGGGCTGAAACGCAGCTCACTGGATAATTAACTCCATCTTTCCAGTCCGCCCTAACTGTTTATTTAGTGTCACCCTGCATTACTGTCACTGGCACTTTCCTCAGAACAGGAGGAGCTGCAGGCTTTCACCTCCCAAAAGGAAATTCTTAGCTTGGACAGATGCAGTATTCAGGATGTACATTAGTTGAGAAAAAAGCTGATTGGAAACTCAATGGAAGATAAGGACTCCCCCCCCCCCAGTATCTTTTTGTAAAATTGCCCTAAGGCAACACAAATAAAGAGAAGGGGAGTAAGAGTGTCTTAAATTCTTACAAATGGGTTCTTACAACACTCTCCTTCACTTTCCAGAAAGGTGTTTGGCATCTGATGTTGAGTGGCATCTTCTGGCTCAAACCTGGCAGTTGGTGAGTCCCTGGGCCTGAGCTGCCTCAGAGCACAGCTGCAACAGGCCCTCTTCGCCTCAGGTGGCCAACCCATTTTCTTCTGCTCTACCCACGGGTGCCCCCACATTTTGGCGACACCACCATCTTTTGATGACGCCACCACTCAGCGAGACGGGGTCCCATCGACTGAGCACAGCCCCTGCTGAGACTTCAGAGTCACCTTGGTTCAGGACGTCAGCACCATGGCTACGAAAACTCACAGTGCCTTGGGGCAGAAAAAACAGGTTCAGGCGGCCATAACCTTCGGAAGGGAGGAGAACAGAGATAAACAGGAGAAGAGAGAAAAACAGAGATACAGAGAGAGGAAGGGGGTGTACGGGGTGGGGGCGGGTGTGCAGAGAGAGAGGAGGGAGAGGAAAAACGATGAGAAGAGTGAGGCAGAAAGAGAGGGAGAGATGGTGACGTGGAGGTGAGAGAGACTGAAAGAGAATAGAAGGGTGAGAAACAGAGGTTCACACACAACATGAACGAGCTTCCTCTTTCGGGGAGGGAAGAGAGAATGAGACAGAAAGAGATACACGGAGAGACAGGGACCAGACAGGGACCGGACGTGAGTAGGCACCCGGAGGGAGAGGGTGACTCCTCCACACACACCCCCAGCCCCGTTCCGCCGCAGTCTGAGTTCTTTCTCGGCCGCGTCTCTGCCTTTCACTCTCTCTCCCTTCCTCCACCCCGGGACAATGTGGAGACTGTATTTTCAGGACCGGCGCGGGGCGGCAGGGTTTTTAACAGCTAGCGGGCTCGCAGCTCTGTTTGTCCAGGTGTGGGCCGGGGACAGCTGTCCCGGCGTCCTGGGCTGGCGTTGAGTTTTTGCACCAAGGAAGCGGGAGGCTCTGCTTTCGCGCTTCCCGCTTCCAGGAGAAAACTCCCTCCCTCCCTCTATACATGCATAAATATATTAGGGGAACAGACAAATCTTCATTGTTCAGAAATAAGCCGAGGAGGCCGACAGACTCCCCTCGGCCCGGCCTAGCGCGGCTGGAAGAGAGGGAGGTGGAGAGGTGGGGGCCGCACGGATCCGGTGTCGCATTGCAGATTCCCACTAAAGATAACGAAACGCGATCTATTTTTCAGAACAGCAAGTGGATGGGAAAGAACCTTGACAACACAAAACTCATTTACTAATGGACTGGTTTTGAGTTTCTCTTCTCCGGGTCCGCAGATCGCCCTGCCTGAGCTCTCGGCCTATTCAGACCTCGCGGGGAGCAGAGTCCCCCAGGAGGCAGGTGGGAGGCTGCTCCCGCGGCGCCGCGTGGGTCGTCAGAGCCCGGGATACCCAGGGTCGAGGACACCCGGAGTTTCCGAACAAGCAGAGGAAAAAGATGAATGTTGTCACTTCCACCAGGATTTGGGGGGGTCTCCGCACTGCTCCTGAGCGACGATGCTAATTTGTTGAAAAAACACCTCCCGACGTCCTTCCCTTCCAAATTACCAGTAGTTAAAGTAGGATCCCCGCTGTTCTTGATGGCGAAGGAATTCCAAGAAAGCGGGCCTGGAGCCCCAAAGCATCGCGCTGCAAGCCAGAAAGGAAAGACGTGGGTCCTAGCCAGAGGGTTTTGAACCAAGGCCTCATGTCAACTCAGCCAGAAACTCCAGTAGCAACTAGTGCCTCGGCTTTGGCTCTTCCATAAGGCCAGTTGTGCGCACCCAGCCGTTCCCTGCGTAGAGGAGGCACATCGGAGCTACACCCGGCGTCGGGCACCCTCTGCCAGCGCGTTACCCTCGAGAGCCAAGATGCGGCGAGGGCAGCAGCTAGAGTTGCACGTTCCCTTTAAATCTCCGACGCATCTCTGTTTTTCGTGTGATTTGCATTGACAGCAAGGGTTTTAAGTTACTAGAACAACTCAAACCTTTCTGTGTGCGATTTAAAATGGATCATTTGGTTTATGTGGTTTGTAAATTCATGTCATTTTACCTCTTTTAGTGGTTTTCAGTGAAAGGTTCCATTTTGGGAAACCTTATATATCCGAGCCAATAATTAACACTTATAACAATTGGTTCCTCTAACCAAGGGATCGAAATAGCAGGTAGTCTCGTTAGTACAAAGCGAATAGCACTTTTCCTTTCTAGTTACGCGGTCTATCGGGTTAAACGCAACGAGAAGGGCTGGCGGGGCCTCGGCAGGGCCTCCGAGATGGAGCACTGCGCCTCAGCAACCCTGGTGCCTGCGGCAACCACAGCGTCCACAGGGTCGTCTTCCCAGGTATCGCCAAGGTCTAGGATGTCCTGGCCTCTTTGAAGAGAGATGAAAAGTAGTGGGCAGGGAGGTCTGGAGTAAGCCGGCGTGGGGGGGGTGGGGGTAGGTGGTTATATTGGTGTCTAATTGCCATCCCTCTGCTCGCTGTCATCCCTTGTAAATTTATACCTGCCCTTGTCCAAGTTATGTCTCATTTCCTTCCACAAAATTGTTAATTATAAAACACACCCCATACTCAACTAGTTGTCTTTTAAGAGACCTTGCACCACACATTGTAATTCTGCGCACTTGCTCTAGACTTTAGGGTATTAACTGAGTTTTAGAGCCGAGTTTAAACCTCCGTTCCGGTCTTCACACAGCTGCCCTGTCAATGAGGACTGTTCCAAGCAGAGACATTCCTTCTGGCAGGACACTGCAGCTTCTTAAGACTTCATCTGAAACATCATGAGTACTAAAATAAGACCGCAGGGGAAAATTACCAGACACATGGGCTTGGGCTCAGCCATGCCAGGCTTCCAGTTTAGAGAAGTAAGTCATTGGGCACACCATGTGGTAGGGGATCTTTTGAAATAATGTGCACCCATTAAATGCACTTAAAAATAATTCTAAATGTAATGAAATATCAGCATCTGTTTCCAAGGTCTAATTGCATGGGATACTGCAAAGTTTCGAGGATGCAAAAAGCATTGTGTGGGAGTTGAGCAAAGAAGCAGCTTCCCTGTACTTGGGATCTCTGGAGAGGCGGCCAGGAGGTGGAAACCCTTCATGAGTTTCAAATGTACATTACAGGGTACACTGGACTGGGTGCATTATTTTAAAACCATATAAATAATACAGGGGGAAACCCGCACGGTGCTTCTCCTTTTCCCACTTATGTCTCAATATGCAAAGGGTTTTGTGGAGCTGGGCTTTGGCTGGTGGAATCAAAACATTTAAAGAAGACAAAAAGTTTGAAGAGCCTAGAGTCTGTTCTTTGCACTCACTAAGAGGGTGCATTTAAATCAAAAGCATTTTTGAAGTGTGCTAACAATTCTGTTTTTGAACTTATCTAATCAGAGATAAGTATAGTCATAAAGTCACTCTCCTCCCACCATTTGGCTCCCCTTATCTCCACGCCTTGTTCTTATCTTCTGCCAGCCTCAACTACTGACAATAGATTATCTTTGTTTAGCGACGCTAATTGTTTTCAAAATCTTTTTAGTAATTGCTTTGGAACAAGGTGTGTAAATGAGGCTTACGATAATTACAGCTTCATTTGTCTGTGCAGTTTTACTAAGCATTCTCCACACATAGACAAAATAACAGATGATGGGACTAAATTGCAGGACATCTCTCATGCCCCGGCAGTAAAATAGGCCAGCATTTCAATCAACGCGCGCGCACGCGTGCACACACACACACACGCACACACCCCTCTTTATTTAATCTTCTTGGAGCCGCTGTCTTCTTTGCTTTGAGGGAAGTGTCCCTCTTGGAGCAGGGCAAGGATTATGTTACAACCGGACCGCTATTGGAGCCGGACCAGTTTTTTTGTTGTTGGTTTTTTTTTAAATTTACACCCCATCCAGCGCCTTTTGTATGAGGTTCCCAAAGCATTTTTGCCAACAGCAAGTAAAGCTTCTGGGTCCGGGGTAGCGGAGGTAGCCTTGAAAATCGCAACCACGCTGATGGGGAAACTGAGTCCAGAGTCTGCAGACTTAAATCATAATTAAGATGACAGATCACAAATGAATCTTCGGAATCTTTCTCTGCTTTGCAACCATCCTCTAAACAGCACTGCGCGTGGTCGCAAATAGTCGCGAGCTTCTGACAATGAGAGAAGCGCTATCCAGCTGAGAGTACACGTGCCCTTTGGAGGGCGGTAGGGGCGTGGGGGCGGGGGTAGGGAAGCTGAGGAGAGGAAATTAGGTTTGGCTCCTGGAGCTGAAGCCAGTCCGGAGAGAAGCCACTCTTCCAGCGACTGCAGCCCTGAGCTCTAGTCTGCTCTTTTATTATTTATCTCGTTCCATAAGCTATTTATCAATTCATTATTTATTCATTCCAACATTAAGGTAATTAAATACGAGCTCACCGGGAAAGGGCATGTCTGCAAGAGACGGGTTCGGAGGGAGAGTGGGGGAGTTAGAAGGTCTGGAGTCATTGATTCGCGCAGAGATGTGCGCGGCTGCCCTTAAGTGACACTGGAGAGAGGGTTCACATTGCAGGGTCCTGACACGATCACCCACCTCACCCCTCCTCTCGCACCCAGACAGCGAGGTTCTATCCTCACTCCTACCCCCCAAACCCCCGCCCTCCACCTCGCTTCCCACCTCTCTCGGTCCTTCTCCTCTCACCACTCCCAATCCTCACTCCACAGCTTCGCCCTCCCCTCGCGGGCGGTGCGGCCTCCCCGCCCGGCCGGGCGGCGCGCAGGCTGGCCAGCCCCGGATAGGCGCCGCCCGCAGCCAATCAGCGTGCCGAGGACGCTGCGCGCTTTAAGGCAGCAGCTGGGAGAACAGAAACCAAGTTCCCCGGCAACGAGCAGCATCTACCGGGTGGAAGCCTGGAGCCAGCGAGGCCCGAAAGGCTGCGGAGTGAGCCGGCCTCTCCTGAGACCTGCGCGCGCCCCACTCCTAGTTCTGCTCTTTTGGTGCTGCCCATACCCAAAACGCGACTTGCTTTTTCGGCTAGGGGAAGCTTAGGAAGGGGGTTGGGAGCAGCCGCGCCCCCGCTGCGCCCGCCGCCCCCTGCATTTTCGGCTGTTCTCTCTACTGCTGGCGCCCGGGCATTGCGCCCCGGCAGGGCCCTGCCATGTCGATGCTGCCGTCTTTCGGCTTTACGCAGGAACAAGTAGCGTGCGTGTGCGAGGTTCTGCAGCAAGGTGGGAACTTGGAGCGCCTGGGCAGGTTCTTGTGGTCGTTGCCTGCCTGCGACCACCTGCACAAGAACGAGAGCGTACTGAAGGCCAAGGCCGTGGTCGCCTTCCACCGCGGCAACTTCCGTGAGCTCTACAAGATCCTGGAGAGCCACCAGTTCTCGCCACATAACCACCCCAAGCTACAACAACTGTGGTTGAAGGCGCACTACGTGGAAGCCGAGAAGCTGCGCGGCCGGCCCCTGGGTGCTGTGGGCAAATATCGGGTGCGCCGAAAATTCCCCCTGCCGCGCACGATCTGGGACGGCGAGGAGACCAGCTACTGCTTCAAGGAGAAGTCGCGGGGCGTGCTGCGGGAGTGGTACGCGCACAACCCTTACCCCTCGCCGCGTGAGAAGCGGGAGCTGGCTGAAGCCACTGGCCTCACTACCACCCAGGTCAGCAATTGGTTTAAGAACCGGAGGCAAAGAGATCGGGCTGCTGAGGCCAAGGAAAGGTACGCGGCGTACTTCCCGCTGCTGGGGCGACCCCGGGATGCCCTCCATTCCCCTCCGCCCCTTCCCGCCCCCGCAGGCACTGGCCACCGCATCTTCCTGGCCCTCGGGAGCCGGTCCTCGGGGCGGCGCCCCGGCCTCCGCAGCACTGCAGAGAAAGTTCATGAACTCTGAGATCGCTTCCTAGGGTTGGGGACTCGTTTGATTTGAGCGCCCGCGCGTGGGCTTCTTGGGGTGTGAGTGTCGAGAAATACTGGTGCTAAGTTTGTTTTTCATGCTTCCCTGGCTGTTTGGGGACAGGTGTGGGAAGTAGAGAGAAAGTTGCTAGATCAACCGAAAGGGAAATGTTGGTGACGCGAGGAAAGGGGTTCGGTGGAAGCTGCGGGTCGCGAACCTCTCTCCTCTTGCTCCCGGTAGGGGTGGCGCTGGTCTGAGCCTTCTGCTGTGCCCCCACTGCCTCTCCGAGCTTAACTTGCCCTCTCGTGCTAGTCTTTCGGGCGAGAGGTCACTGTTTCATTCCGCAGTAGCCTTACAAAGGGAGGAGTCATTAACAAATTCACAAAACGAGAGATTTGGGAGAGGTGGCGCTGCATTTACCTCCCTAAGCCCAAAGCTCGGGAAGGATCGCTCCTCTCTGGGCTCCCTCGCGCGGGGCCGGGCGCCGCGGCCGGTCCGTCTGGATGACCGCCGCCCCGGACGAGGAAGGGGTCTCTAGTCTCTGGCTTCTCTCGCCTTGGAGCTCAGGAGGCAATAATTTTGAAACTGGTCTCTGCCTCCACCCTCCTCGCGCCACCCCACCCCCCACCCCCGCCCCGGCCACCTGGCCCCGCTCCATCCGCTCGCAGTAGAAGTTTCCGACTGAGATTCGGAAGAGCGTGCTGGTGGCGGCGGCGGCGACCTCAAGGAGAGCGCTCCGGGAAGCCGACGAGTTTCGGGAAACCTGAGCTCCGGGCGGGCTGGGTTTCCTTTGTTTGCTTCCGAACCTGGGGGCGGAAGGTGTCGCCTCCGCTTTCCACTCTGGGTAGAAGGCAGGGGACTTGGATACGTTCAGCTGAAATGGGCTCTCTGGGAGAGGGAGAGATGAGTCGAGAAGGGGAGAGAAAGGGGGACACGGGCCGGCTCTCGGGGTGGGCAGACAGGCGAGCACTCAGAGGGCGGAAGCGCCCGGGGCTTCCAAATCCTGCAGTTGACCGGCACCCAGCGCCGGGTGCTGTCCCGCTGTCCCTCCACCGCCCGCACCCTGCAACCGCTCACCGGCTGTGCGGGGTCGAGAAGTTTCCCGGGTAGGGAAGGGTGCGCTAGTGTGGATGCTGTGGGGAGCTTAGATGTGTGCGTGAGGAACTAAGGACTGAGTGAGTAACACGGGGATCGGGACACTCTGGTTCCAGTTCGACTTTAGTTACAAAACCGCTGCCCTGCAAGCCAGGCGCGAGGGCCCCACTACCTGATGAAATTGGAGAGACTGGCCGCGCTCCCTGTGTTTACTCAGGTCACTGGGCCGCTCTGGACACCCCTTCCCAAGACCTGTCCTGTGTCTCAGAAACCACAACCTCCGGGCAAGGGCAGGGAAACTCGACGTTTAATTGTTTCCTCAGGTGGGAACACGAAAATTGACTTGATTCACCCCAAACGTGTGCATTGGGGACTGCTTGTCCCTGATCGCTTTCTTCATCACCAACAGCCATTTGTTGGAAGATTCTCAAAGCTA